CACATACGTACTTGCTGTTCTGTGTGTACTTACACATGCAAGCGGATTCTATTTTTAGATTCGCACGCTCTCAAATTTGTGCGAGCGAGATGGCGCGAATTTCGTCGCTGGCCGCAAAATTGTCTTGCATATGGCAATTGAAATGTATGAGCGTTACGCATCTTATACTTATATTGTCTTTGGTGTCACCCATAGTATTAGTAAAAAAGAAAACTGGGGAGCTAAGATTGTGCGTCGATTATCGCACACTTAATAAAGGAATGATAAAAGAAAGTTTTCCGACACCACTGATAGACGACTTATTAGACAAACTATCAGAGAAAAAACTGTTTACGAAATAAGACTTGAAGAATGGGTACTTTCACGTGTTTATGCCCAAAGACTCAATTAAGTACACTTCGTTCACGACTCCTATGGGACAGTACGAGTGGTTAAGGATGCCGTTTGGACTACGAAACGCGGGCGCAGTATTCCAAAGGTTTACAGGCAAGATCTTCGCAGACATGGTAAAGGAATACAAAGTCATAATATATATGGACGATATAATGATAGCCACAAAAGATAGCGATAGTCACATGCAAATTTTGCAAGAAGTATTAAGACGGTTAGTAGCAAACAATTTGGAGTTAAGGATAGACAAATGCGTGTTCATGAAATCAGAGGTCAGGTATCTCGGCTTTTGCATAGCAGGAGACGGCATCAAGCCAGACACAAAAGGTATGCAAGCAGTAAAAGATTTTCCACTCCCAAAGAAATCAAACGAAGTACGAAGTTTTTTAGGGTTATGTTCATACTTCAGACGGTTCGTACAAGACTTTTCCACAAAAGCTAAACCTCTTTACGAATTGGTAAAGAAAGACAAAAAGTTCGAATTCGGAGCCAGAGAATTAGAGTGTTTTGAACAGTTGAAAAACAATTTATTAGAAGCACCGATATTAGCTCTATATAATCCTAACGATCCGACAGAATTACATTGCGACGCTAGTTCATTGGGTTTTGGATCAATTTTGATGCAAAAGAAAAGCGACGGCAAAATGCACCCTGTGTTCTTTTTCTCAAAACGAACGATAGAATCAGAATCTAAATACCACAGTTTCGAACTAAAAACACTTGCTATAATATATGCACTACAACGGTTTAGAATATACGTCCAAGGCATACCCTTCAAAATAGTAACAGATTGTAGCGCTATCGATAAAGAGGGAGAGCGTGGCGACACTTCTAAGAAATAAGCGAGCGAGCGAGATTGAATAAAAAGAGCGGACGAATAAAAATTATTTAAAAGCATTCGAAAGTGTGTTATCAATTCGTAAATCAAGTAACGATTGGTTACAATAAAGTCATCCTACACTAACAATATATATTCCCGAAGTGCCAACGAAATTCCTTTCCCACGGTACTGGTGCACACCGATCACCTTACCTGGGACATTGGACACTTTTTGGGAGGCGATTGCTTAGGTAACCCTCGATTACCGGGCAAAACCCCCACATGCGCAAGCCAGTCAGCAGTTTCCGACTCTCCTTACCGGCGATATTGGACACTGACTGCAGGGCTAATGATTAGGTAACCTTCTGTTACCGATCAGCCCGTCTGCACGCGCAGACTATAATTCGGCAATATATATTTATGTAAGAACCCTTCCCACATTCTGGAGTAGAAATAAGATATCTGTAAGACATTCATGGGAAAATCGAAGGCCGGCCGATCTATAAAAAGCACTGCCTTGCATGAAGAAAAGGGAGTCCACCAGCCATCGTAGGAGGCGAAGTATAAAATAAATCCCTATTATTCCATCACAAAGGATTGCGAAGTTTTTATTTACTAAATGGAAATTGTTTGGAATTATGTATTTATTTGTCTGTAGCTCTATTGGGGCAAGGCCTTGGGATTTTGTATTATTGAAGGGGCACGCAGGCTTCTGAGGAGTCCAGAGGGCGACGAGGGCTGTGTGGGCGATTTCGTGGGAAATCGGAAGAAAAAAAATACAAGACCGTAATTCGTTTCAAGGTGTATGTATATTCAGAATGACTTTTCACATTTTTTCCACCCGGTAAATCTTTTACAACTCCCCCGCAAGGTTGATAAAGCCAGGTGAGGCCGTGGCTTGATAATTGGTTAGGGACGCTGGGAGTCGAACGCGAACATCCCACCGCCCTTGCAATGTATTGCAACTTATGGGGAGTCCAATGCTGCAGAAATTTTTAAGGCCGGCACCCGCCCGTTAGCGTCCACCCGAAGACGGTGTGCTGGGCAACGGAAGCCCCTCGGCACTCGGCAGCATTCCATCGCGGATGATGTCACCATACACGTCCGCTCCCAGAATGAAGCCACAGTGGCCGGGCGATGAAAATTGTCGTCTGCCAACGTGAGGTGATCAAATTTGCTCCGTATGCGATCACCGATGGACGCGGAAGGAGTGCGCAGATGCAGTTTCGGGTCCACTTGGAACACGACCTCCAACAGGAAGTCCGGGGACATCGGTGACCGGAGCACTGCTGCACAGGCTTCTTCATCACCGATCATGGACGTGCTCAAATGAAAAGCCTTGGCAAGCGACGCGTTGATCACTGACATGGGGTGGCAGGGGTCGATCAACGCCCCTGGTGTCATAGGTGGTGGTCCCGTTATCGACGGTGACGCTTGCGGTCGGTAGTACCTGCGGGTTGCGGTGCTGCAGCAGTGTGGTCAGAGTTGGAGGTCGGCTGGAGGAGGATGCCGACGTCCTCGGATGAGTAGGCCGTCGATCAGTCGGTGTGTCCCGCGTTCGAGGTCGGCGGGAGGCAGAGGACGCCGTCGTCGGAGCTCGAGGTCCAGCTGGTGAGGACGGTGTGACTGGTGTGGGGCGACGACGAGCTGTGTCCGGAATATGCAGTAGGGTGTGGTGATGCTTGTGGCACGGCCGGCAACGGTCTCCGCTTCTGCTCGTGGGCTAAGCAGTTGGGGCAGTACTGATTGATGAGTGCCGCCCGCAACCGCTTTCAGCGCTTAGCCACAGGAACCGCCCGCACTTCCTAAGAGGATGGACGCCTCGGCAGACTCGGCAGCGGTAGGACATGGTACCTCGGGTACGTCTGCTATCGTGGGCTTGATCCTCGGTGCTTCTGCGTTGGGTGCGTGTGGGCTGATGGGGTGCCATGATGAGACCGTGGCTGCGGAAATCGGAAGTGAGGATTAATAAATATGTGCAGGAGAGTTGTACTTAAGCCTAAGGAGAAGAAGGCGGATACTTATGGATCGGATCCTACGCGGGAGTAGGTGGACTGGATCTCTGACTCCATAGGCAGCAGGTCGACCTTGGTATTCTGTCTTTTGATAAGGCCTCGGACCGTGGTAAGGTCTATCACACGGACCTTATCATCGGGCCCAGGGTACGTTTTTTGTACCCGTCCGAGACGCCATTCATGAGTGGGGATGTTATCCTCCTTGATAACAACGAGGTCTCCCACCTCTAGGTCTCTTGTTGGATGCTGCCATTTGGTTCGCTTGTGCAACTCTCGTAGGTACTCCGTCTTCCAGCGCGAACAGAATTGCTGGTTTAGATCCTGGAGATGTTGCCAGCGGTTCAGGATGGAGGAGGAGCTCTCTTTGATTTCAGGCTCCGCCACGGAGAGTAGCGGCCCGCCGATCAGGAAGTGACCTGGGCTTAGAGCCAGCGGGTCATTTGGGTCCTCGGACATAGGAGAGATCGGTCGAGAGTTAAGGCAGGCCTCAATTTTGGAGAGTAAGGTGGCGAACTCCTACAATGTATATTTGGCCGTACACATCGACCGTTGGAACAGAGTCTTGAAACTCTTCACGCCTGCTCCCAAAGCCCACCCATGTGTGGGGCTCCCGGAGGGATGAACCGCCACGATAAGCCCTGCTGACTGTACACCGCAGAAGTCCGAGTTCGGATGGCCTCGAGAAGGTCTACAGCCAGAGCACGAGATGCGCCGACGAAATTCCTGCCGTTGTCGGATTGGACCTCGTGAGGACACCCTCGTCTCGCGACAAAACGAGCGAAAGCGGCTAGGAAGGTGTCAGTGGATTAGTCGGACGTGGTCTCTAGGTGGCCACATAACCTTTGGTTATGCGGCATGCGCGCCCGGTGAAGCTCTTGACGTCGAAGGGACCGGCAAAGTCGACTCCGGTGTATGTGAATGGTCTGGAGAATGTGACTCTTGTGGACGGAAGGTCACCCACTAATTGGGTTTGGAGTCGCTTGCGGAGGATTACGCATACCTTACAGGATTGGATCACCGCACCAGCAGGCGAACGAGGAGGGATGCGGGTGGCAGTAGGATTGGATGTTTCTCGTTATAGGACATAGAAGCGGAGGCTTGGACTCGGCCACATTCTCGCATGACACCGTTCTGGTCAATGAATGGATTGAGTTTCCGTAGGGAGCTCGAGGCAGGGAGAGGATGTTTGGTGGCAAGGCACCGATGTTCGTCCGCATAGTGCATGCCCTGCGTAGCGGTGGTAACGGCTTGCAGTGCGGCCGCTATCTCTGCCCCGCTTGGTTCCTTGGAAATGTGGACTGACCCTCCTCTGCATCGTTGGATGAATCGCTGCACATAGGTAAGCACGCGCAAAGCTCGCCCGAGATCCGAAACCCGCTGAGGATGTCAGAGTATGTGCTAGTTGCATACAGCACCTTGACTGCTCGCTTCTCCAAGTCAGTCTCCGGGAATTTTCAGGGGACACGGCCACTGTGACTGCGGGCGGCGCAGCCAGGCAGGACCATGCCACCACATGTTGTACCCCGCGAAGTTGATGGCTAGGTCGGCAGGATTGTCTTCCGATCGAACATGACTCCATCACTCGCCGGAGTTGCAGCGCGACATCTTGGCAACTCGATTGCCACCTGAAGGACTGGTCCTAAATGCAATATGTCATTAAGTCTTCTTCCGTTCGAAGACGGGCTGGACGCGTTGAAGACCACGCGCACCTTGGTTGTTGTACTTTCTGGCTTGAAAACAGCATGGTGTGGAAGATAGAAGTGGCCGGAGTCGTGACTATATGTCCTCTTTCCTGTGGCCTAGCTCTAAATACTCGTGAATGACGGCGTCGTACTGCTCCTTGAGAGGCAAGTTTTGCTGCAGACACTGCTCGTTTTTCAGAAACAGGGCGTGAGCCGAAGGCCTGGAGTAGCCCAAGTCTATATTCTCTGGACAATTGAATGGAAGAGTGACGATGTATCTCCCGTCGGGACCTCGCTGCGTGGTCTGGAGAAAATTGTCATCGCAAATGGAGTCTGACTCGCTCGTATTTCTCCCTGGAAGGTCCTCCACCTCCCAAAACTTTATGAGAAGTTTCTCGAGTCGGACGTCAGAGCGGACCGAGATCTTTGTGGTGAAAGAAGAGATCATTCGAGACGAGTCAGCTGCGACAGGACCGGATAGGACCCATCCGAAGATAGTCTCTTGGCCCAAGAGCGAGCCACAAATGTTGGACCGGAAGCCGCTTAAAAGGATGGATGGAAGGATATCAGCGCCTATAAGCACGTCTATCTGCGAGCTGCGATGAAAGGAGGGGTCCGCTAAATGGAGTTTAGGAAGGACTGTCATGTAGTTCTGCGGTACAGGGTATGACGGGAGGTTACCTGCCAATTGCGGAAGAACATACGACTTGGTCTCGACCTGGAGGCCGGGCCTTAAGGCGGAGCCGATCATGAAGTGGCAGAGTTTCTGGGCCTTGGCCGCTACCGTTTGACTCAAACCGGAGGGTTGAGCCTGGATGGCTTGAAAGGGTGGCCGAATGATTTTGAACATCCGCTCAGTAATTAATGTGGCCTCAGATCCGGAGTCGATCAGTGCTCTAGCCTTGTATCTTGTGCCGGCATGACAAATGTCCACTATTGCTGTGCCCAGTAGCATCTGGTGGACCTTTGTAGAACAATAGCTCTGGACATAGGCCGAGTCGTTGGACGAAGGAAGAGAAGAGGAAGTGAGCTGTATGATGGTAGAGCCTAACGTGCTGTGACAGTTGGACACACTCGGAGTCTGCTCGCCCCAATGAAGGAGGGGGTGGTGTCGCCCATTGCACGTACGGCAGTTGGACGCACTGGTGCAGTCCCGGAGTTGGTGTCCTCGCGCGAAGCAGTTTAAGCAGAGTTGTTTCTGCTGGATGTAGGTTGACCGCTCCTGTACGGTGAGGCGAAGCTATTTTGATCGCACCGGACGATAACTCCTGGAACAGACGTCGCAGTTGCGCACCTTGTTGGAGATTCTCCCTTCAAAGGAGTTGACTCGTCGAGGTGCAGGAGTGGAAAGGCCCGTACGGGGATTGGAGTATCTCTCGATGCCTGAATGACCGTCCTCGGTCGCCTCGAGAGAGAGGTATCCCTCCCCTAAGAACTTGACCATGGCGCGCCATGTCGGAACCTCGAACTTGTTCGGAACCGATTGTTCCCAAAGCTCCACGGTTGCCTTTGGCAACTTCGCGGTAATGAGGTTTACTAACACGCCATCTTCAAAGCAGCTGTCTGTGGAGACCTCGGAGTGCTGAAAGGTCGCGAGTCACTTGTGGACAGACCTCTGGAGCTTCTTTAAGGCAGCTCCAGGCTCAGATCGGATGGAAGGCAAGCTGAAAAGGATCTTCAGCTGGGCTTTGAGTATCAGCCTTTTATTTTGGAAACGCTCACGAAGGTTGTTCCAGGCGGAATCAAACCCATCATTCGTGAGCGGAGCCTGTGCTACTATGTCGTGGGCTTCACCGCTCGTTTTCTGGTTGAGGTGGTATAATTTCTCCACCGGAGCCAACCTGGCGTTGTTAATGTAGATGGCGGTGAACCGGTCTCGGAACATAGGCCACTGCTGGTAGTTCACACTGAAAACCTCCGTGTCACATGGAGGAAGGCGGCAACCGTTGGACATTGGCACCTGGACGACTGGTTGCGCAGTCGGAGTGACAGTTGCGGTCTGGAGGTGTTCACTAAGTTCAGCTAAACTTTGCTCGTACACCGCGTAGCAGTCATCGTACGTATCATGGACTTCAACTTGACCATCTGGATCAGCTGCTGCTAGAAGGGCGGAACTGCCTCGGATTTGTTCCCGGCGGACTTGAGAAAGAGATATGGATGGGGTGCGGCATCAGGAGCATTCAGCATTTCTGGTCAAAGTGAGTGTGCCAAAGCAAACCTTGACCGTGCAGAGCTGACGGCAGATTGGGCCATTATGCCTGGAACCGTGTACGTGGATGGTAAGGGACACAACGGGGTGTCGAATATGGACTGGCAAAACTTGGATGGACCTTGCGAGCGTGAGGGCGAACAAGAAGAAGTGGGTGTAGTAATTGCTGCGGAAGAGCTGGGCGGCTTTGCGTCACTCTGCGAGCTTACACGCTTTAGTTTTTTGCCGACTTTCTATCTACTAGAAGGCATACTCAGCTGATGGATCTGTTATGGGTAGAACTCGCAATTCCTGGGGTACACGGAGAGCAGAGTGCACAGGCGGAAGTTGAAATCGGAATGATACTCGACGCACACGTAAGTCAGAGGACTTTAAATATTATAATATTTATTTGCTCACTCGTTGGATGATTTTGTTGTCAGAAGGAAATTTATTAATTACCAATAATAGAATTATTAATAATAACTTAATAGTTCTCAACAATCACCACTTCTTAATAACAACAGTTATCAATGATAATTATTATTTACATGTGAAATATTAGAATAGTTTTTCTAACAACGAAAACCGAAAGACTGTGGGTGGCGTAAAGTTTATTAAAAAGCGGAGACGAAATATTCTATGTGCGTTCGATCGAATTCCAATTTTTATTGCGCTCCCGCCTTGCCCTAACCTACTTACACTAGACTTCAAACAATTCAAAATAATCTCAACATACAACATTGACTACGACGATGACATGACGAAACACCGGCCCCGTTGAAGGCCTGCGCGGCTTCAACACATTGGTAGCGGCGCCAACTTGTGGATGGCCCGCCGAAAAATGCCTCCATCGCTCCTCCTAAGGTCGACGACCCTGACCATGCCGTCCTCCCCGGCGTGCGTGGCGATCACTCTCCCGAGGAGCCACTCCTGTGGAGGCATGTTGTCCTCGGCTACGAGGACGAGGTCTCCCTCCTTGACGTCGGGCTTTTGTTGGTGCCAGTTGCCCCGAATTTGAAGTCCCTTGGACCATCGCCGCCAGAACGCTTGCCTGACTGACGAGGCAAGTTGCCATCGCCGCAAGCAGCTGAGACCCTCCTGGTCCGGAGTCCGCAGTGCTGGGGGGGCGATGAGCGACCCGCCTGTCAGCAGGTGCCCGGTCGTGAGTGCCTCGCCGTCGCTGGGTCCTGGCTGAGGGCTCCCAGCGGCCTGGAGTTCAGGACGGCCTCGATCCCGACGAGGACTGTGGCGAGCTCTTAGGCGGTCAATAGCGCGCTGCCTACCGCCCGTAGGAGTAGGCTCTTCGCAGACTTGACACCTGCCTCCCAGAGTCCTCCCATGTGCGGCGCTCGAGGCGGTATGAACGCAAATTCGCATCCTTTTCTTGACGCGAATTCTCGAACTGCGTCCGCCCCGTCCTCGAGCGCCTTCTGCAGAGCGCTGAGGTGGCGGCTCGCTCCGACGAAATTCGTCCCGTTGTCGCAATGGACGATCTAGGGATATCCTCGGCGCCCAACGAACCTTTGGAAAGCCAATAAAAAAGAGTCAGTGGTCAAGTCGGATACAAGTTCTAAGTGAACCGCTTTGGACGCAAAACAAACAAAAAGCGCGATATAGGACTTGTATATGGGGGCCTTCCTCGAATTTTCAATGTCGTCGAGACGGGTCCACAAAAATCAACGCCGCAAATTGAAAATGGGCGCAGAGCACGGAGCCGGTCTGCGGATAAATTTCCCATAAGTTGCGTCAGCAGTCGAGGCTTGCATTTAAAGCAGCGAATACACGATCGAACTGTCTGACTGCAGACCTCCTGATCGTTTACGATCCAAACACTCTGTCGAAGGATGCTCACAAGTGCTCGTGGGCCGACATGAAAATTGATATGGTGCAGATGACGAACATAGCTCCGTACGAATTGCGAACGCTTCGTCAAAAGCAACGGAAACTTGGTATCGTAGGATATAGTAGCTTTAGCTAGTCGCCCCCCTACTCTCAACAACGAAAAAGTACACCAAGTACCAGTGTCTTCATGGATGAATGGGTTCAACCGCTGAAGACTAGGACCAACTCTAGATCCTTTCCGAACTTTCTCGATTTCCTCACGATACTCGTTATGTTGGATAATTTCAACAATTTTGCGAAAAGCTTCATCATACTCGGTCGGTGAAACCGTTTTTTCAAACGTTATGCTCGGGTTCTTACATTTTTTTATAAAGCGGAACATATAATGTAAGGTCCTATTTCAGGCTGAGGTAAGCATCAGTCTGTCCAGGGTCCGCTACAAGAAAATTTGTAGTTTGTAGGTGACTTCAGGTGTCGGGCTGGCTGGCAAAAGAATGTAGTAGGCAGCGAGAAATGATAAGGCGACGGTTCTGTTTGTTGGTTTCTTAGTTTTTATTCAGTATTCTTTTTTCTTCATTCACTTAAATTCTGCTACTTTAACTCGTATCGAATGGTGCGCTGATGGACTGCGTAGTGCAGTGTCTTGGGTGTGTGACTGACGGACTGCCTAGTGCAGTGTCTTGGGTGTGTGACGGAGGGACTGCGTAGTACAGTGTCTTAGGTGTGTGACTGAGGGACTGCCTTGTGCAGTGTCTTGTGTTTGGGCTGATGGACTGCCTGCTCCTTCGGCCGATCTTTGCCCTTTTATGCAGCTGGCGATCGCACCTGAGACCCGGAAATAATTAATTCTTGCTGATTTAAGGTTATTGGATAACAATAATTGTGGAAGCTTGGTGCTTCGTTGACAATTGTTAGTGGGTCAGGGTGGTTTTGCTGAGGCTGCACCCCGGAAGGTGCGGGCTGCGGTTGGGAAAGGTGATATCTGAATTTGGGTCGGTAGGTCGATAATTTTATGCTAGCTTGACTTATTGTGAAATAACGCCAATGATATTTCCTATGTAGGCCGTCGATTGCGAAATGTCCCAAGAGGTGGGGTGTTTTAAATTATTGTGTGGACAAGAATGTGTAGAGTTGTTGGTCGAGAGTTCTTAATTAATTGTGTGCTTAAGACTATTTTATTTCCGGGGTGCTGACACACCGCTATTTGTGGAGAACCGTGGCTAGAGCCATGGTTCGCTAGCTCTGTGTATATCAGTTAGATTATTGTCTCCAGCCTGCGTGGATGCGCTGACCCTTCGCCGTTTGTGACGAGCCATGACTAGAACCATGGTTCGTTACACCCCCCCCCCCCACCACTTTCTTCCGGGTGGGTGATGGAGAGATTAGTGGCGTCGCTTGGCGGGTGCTGAGGTTCGCCTTTTTCCTGTCCTTTGGCTTGTGCCGAGTCTCCGGATTCGTCGCTGTAAATCTCGTCCCTTTAACGTGGCGTCGGTAACGTTATATTTTCTACTGCTGCTCTGATCGTGATCTTTCTGCTGTTCTGGATTCTTTGTAGTTGGTCTCTGCTTGGTGGGTCACTTATCCCATATGACGATGGTTTTCTCGGCAGTTTTCTTTGGTAGTTCTTTGCCCAGGCATTCTTGGATCGGCGGTGCTATGTCGGGTGGCCAAGGATCCGTCGGTAGTTCTGGGTCGTCTTCGGTGGGTTGGGTGGCTCCGGGGTCAAACGTTTGATTCGGGTCTTCCGGTAGGATGGGACTGTCGAATGTAAATGCTTGGATCTGCGGGGCCAAGTCCGGCGGCCACGGCTCCGGGACTGGTTCGGGCTCATTTTCGGTTGGATCGGCTGCTTCGGAGTCAAATGGCTGGCTGGGGTCTTCGGGTAAGAGGGTTGTGTCGAAGGCACTGTGCGTTTCGATCCCCCGTTAGTAGTCGCTTATGTGGGCGACGATGGGTGTGGTGTCGACCATGGGTACGAGATTTTGGTATGCCGGGTGTAGTACTCGTGTTATACTACAGCCAGACTGGTACGTGAACAGGTGAGTCGCGATGACGCCTCTGGTATCGCAGCAACGACTTGTGTGGGCGACGAAGATCTCGGACATGGCTCTAGGCATGGCTCGTTGCATGGCGCTAAGAATCATGTCAGTACGCGGAAGGTACTTCACTGTGTTGGCGAGGATCGGTGTGGCGTCGGCCGTGGGTACGACAGGGCGGCGGTCTGTGCATCGTGGGGGTATCGTCGTGGTTTCCGGGCCCGCGTTGAGGGGCTCTGTGGATATCAGTTCTATTATGGGCCCCGACCAGCGTGGGGTTAGCGTGGCTGTTTCCCGTGTTGCTGGGCTGTCGGATGGTGGTTGCCGTTGTCTTTTTTCGATGCTGATGGTCGGTTTTGAGGGTGTCCGTGCGTTCAATTCTTCCGTTGTGGATTCTGTTCGTGCTTGCTCTGTTGCTTGTCTTGGACCTGGGCTTCCTGTGTCGAGCGCCGGGTTCAAGTGTGTTTGTCTCGTGTGTGAGATCCTCGTGGTTTGTTTGGGGTATGTGTCACCTGTGGTTGGGCTAGGACGCGGTTGCTCCGTAGTGACCGTGGGACTCATTCTCCCGATTGCTTGATTGCGGTTTGCTGGTGTTGACCTTGGATTCGTGTTTTCCGTAGTGTGCCGTTGCTTCGTATTCGTTGCGATTGGTTTGGGTGTCAAGGGCTGCGTAGGTTCGTTGCGCGTTGTTGGGGTTTCTGGTATCGGGGTTCGGCGTCTTGTACGTGGATGGTAGTAAGCACGGGTTCAATGGGCATGGGGTGACGGTCTCGTAGCTGTAGCAGCGCGGTGCCGCATTGGATCGTCGTTTCGATGGCACCTAGGAAGTCCATGCCGACAATAACTTTTCCCAACATGTTTGGCAGGACCAGGAGCGGGATTTGAACCTCTCGTTGATCCAGCTTGATGTGCGCCAGTAGAACTTGTGAGATCTCTCTGACCGAGCCATCGGCCAGGCGTATGCGGATGCATGCATCTTGCAGGTTGGTGTTGTTGTTTAGTTTTCGGGCGAGGTTTGCGCTGATAAAGCTTCTGGATGCCCCGGTGTCGATTGTGGCTTCCGTTGCGTG